GGGGGTCACGGGGAAGGCAGTATATGCAGAGAAGACAAGTAGTGATTCTATAGCTTCTTACTACGCCGATGGACAGTGACTGTAATTGCATGGACCATAATGTCGTTCATGTAATTGTACGTTAATTATAGCAAAATAAAAAATAAAAATAAATTTTTTAAAAGAATGAAAAAATAAAAGAGCCAAATGTCTTTTTATTAGCAATGAGAAACTGAAAACTAATTTTCTAAATACTATGTGTCATAGCTACAAAAAGATGAAATACTGAGGAATATATCTAACAAAACATGTACGGAATCTGTATGCTGAAAACTACAAAATACTGATGAAAAAAATAAAAAAACACCTAAATTAATGGCAAGACATTTGTGTTAATGATTTGCAGATTCAACATAGCAAAGATGTCAATTCTCCACCAAACTGACCTACAGATTAAATGTAATTCTAATCAAAATCCCATCAGCATTTCTTATAGACACAGACAAGCTAAGTTTTAAATTTATATAGAAAAGCAAAGAACTATAAATAGTCAAAACAATTTTGAAAAGGAAGAGTAAAGTTGAAGGTATCATACTACCTAATTTTAAGACTTATTATAAGCCTACAATAATCAAGACTGTGTGGTATGCAACAAAATAGAGAAACCAGACAGCTGATTTTGACAGAGATACAAGGGCAATTCAGTGAAGAAAGGTTAGTTTATTGAATAAACGGTGTTTTGTTGCAACTGGATATACATAAGCAAAAAAATCAACCTCTGGTGCCTGTTCACCAGACACCCGATCTTGCAGGACCGTCATTAAAACCTTCCTCCGGCTTTTCTCTTGGTCTCCGTGTCCACTTACTGAATTTGCACCAGTGAGTGTGTTTCTCACAATTTGGGGGCTGGTCCGCGATCCTCTTGCCTGTGCGAGGTGGGGGCCCAAGCGGAGCGGGAAGACACGTCCCCCGGCTTTGGGCGGCCCGCTCTGCCTGGGCGTCTCACCTTCGCACGGTGGCTGAGGGGAGACCCGAGACTGTCGTGCGGAGACAGCGTCAACGACGCAGGGGAGAAAACGCTGGCACCACGGCAACCAGGCAACCTCGTGCACGAGCCAAGGTAGCTCAAACAGAGGCTGAAGAAAGAACGAGGTCTCCTGTGCAGTTCCGACGTGAGCAGCCTCACTAACCGGAACGACCGACGGATCCGCGGCTCCACCGGCTTCTTTGTGCCGATACACACATCCCGTTCCTCTCGGGGACCGCCTAGGTCCGGGGAAGGATTTTGCGGAAGTACCGGGAACTGTTTGTAAGGTTCCGGCTGCCCGGCAGCTGAGAGCTTCTTCGGCTCCGTAAGCGCCCATTTCTCCTGCAGTTTCGGAGAAGAAGCGGCAGTGATGGCTCCGGTGTCTGGTTCGCGCAGCCCGGAGCGGGAGGCCTCGGGCTTCGGGGGGAAACGTCGCAGTTCGTTGAGGAGCCCCAAGGCCAGTAAAGCAGCCCGGTCCCCGCGGGGCCGCCGCTCGCGCTCGCGTTCTTGCTCTCGGTCGGGAGACCGGAATGGCCTCCGCCAAGGCTCCCGAAACCAGTCCTATCGCTCCCGCTCGCGGTCACGCTCTCGAGAGCAGCCCTCTGCGCCACGGGGCACCCCCTTCGCCTCTGCCTCCTCGTCCGCCTATTACAGCAGCTACTCGCGCCCCTGCGGGGGCGACAAGCCGTGGCCTGCTAGGGAGGAGAGCCTGCGGCAGAAGAGATTAAGTGAGAGAGAGAGGATTGGAGAATTGGGAGCTCCTGAAGTATGGGGACTTTCTCCAAAGAATCCAGAACCAGACTCTGATGAATATACACCAGTAGAGGATGAAGAGCCAAAGAAAAGTACCACTTCATCTTCTACCTCAGAAGAAGAAAAGAAGAAATCATCTAGTCATTCAAAAGAAAGGTCCAAGAAAAGGAGAAAGAAAAACTCATCTAAAAGAAAACACAAGAAGTACTCTGACGATAGTGACAGTGACTCTGATTCTGAAACAGACTCCAGTGATGAAGATGCAAAAAAGAGGGCAAAGAAAGTCAAGAAAAAGGGAAAGAAGAAACGCAAATCGAAGAAATACAAGAAAAAGAAATCAAAGAAGAGCAGAAAAGATTCCAGTGATTCAAGCTCTAAAGATTCTCAAGAAGAGTTTCTGGAGTATCCCTGGAAGGACCGATCAAAGCCTGGAGAACCCTCAGATTTAATTGGCCCAGAGGCTCCAAAAACACTTGCCTCCCAAGATGATAAACCTCTGAACTATGGCCATGCCCTACTACCTGGTGAAGGTGCAGCTATGGCTGAATATGTGAAAGCTGGAAAACGTATCCCACGAAGAGGTGAAATTGGCTTGACAAGTGAAGAAATTGCATCATTTGAGTGCTTGGGCTATGTAATGAGTGGTAGCAGGCATCGCCGAATGGAGGCTGTGCGACTGCGGAAAGAAAACCAGATCTATAGTGCTGATGAGAAGAGAGCCCTGGCATCCTTTAACCAAGAAGAGAGGCGAAAGAGAGAAAACAAGATTCTGGCCAGTTTTCGAGAGATGGTATACAGAAAAACTAAAGGGAAAGATAACAAATAAGGATTTTCTAATTGTTCAGCAGACATTTTTAATAACAAGAAAGAAAGTATGGGATACACACACACAAATATATACACAAAAAGATTACTATGATTTGAAAGCTTTCAGTGCTACTGTGCCTTCTATTTAATTCCTTCAGTCCTTCAGTAAGAAGCTGCTCATCGATAGAACTTTAGCAAGTTCCTTGGGTTATTTTGGGTTTCCCATAATAACTTTCTGGTTTAAAAATCGAGATTATGAATGGAATCGTACTGGGGGAAGTGAAATTGAAAGAAAGTGTCAGTGAGAGAGAAACTTTACTCTCACACCATGGGACAGTACTACTGTTAGCTCCATATGATGCCCACCCTCACCCCCACCCCAAATGCACTCATGGGAAATTATTCATGTACACTGAATGTTATAAATGGACTTGTAGAAACATACAGGAGGCCACTTTTGTTAATAGAATGAAGGCATTGCTGAAAAAATCAAATCTAGAGTTTGAAAATTGACTTGTATAATACCATACATAGTCTGCTATGGAAATTATGTATGTTGGTTTTAGTCTCTACCTCCACCCCCAAACTAACAAACAAACCAAAAAGCAAACTAACTCATAGACTTATTGAGTTGAAAATGTGAATATTAGTTCTTAAAATTCTTAATAGGTTACTTAAAAATGGTTTTCAAATATAAACTATTGGGACTACTGTTGTGCCAATGTAAGTACATTATTTCTGTCTAAGCTCTGCTTAGATCACTATTTGAATACTGGAAATGATTGACAGTGAACTATGATCACATTTCATAAGGATGAAGCTACAATGATGTTGAACATATTTTAAGTCTGTTATGTAATAAGCATATTTCATTTTAAACATTATTAAACCTTTCAGTTTAAAAAAAACCTCCACCTAAACCTCACACCTTATACAAAAATAAATTCAAATGGATCATAAATCTAAATGTAAGATTCAAAAAAATAAAACTTCTAAAAGAAAACACGGGAAAGAATTTTGTGGCTAGGATCAGTAAAGAGTTTTCAGCTATAACACTAAAATGATAAACTGGACTTCACCAAAATTTAAATTTTTTGCTTTGCAAAAGACACCGTTAAGAAAATTTAAAGAAACGCTACACATTGGGAGAAAAATACTTGCAAATCATGTAACTGACAAAAAAATTATATCCAGAACAAATAAAGAACTCTCAAAACTCAACAGTAAGAAAACAACCCAGTGAAAGAAATGGGCAAAAGATAGTCCCAGGTTAAATACTATGTAATTATATTTATATGACTTTCTCAAAAAGACAAAAGCATAGTGGTAGAGAGGGGCTAAGTGGTTGCCAGGGGCTGAGAGGTAGGGATAACAATGTGGAAATGGGATAGAGCATGAGCGAGATTTTTGGGTTGATGGAACTGTCGTGGTTTTCTGATTATGTTGGTGAATATATGAATCTACAAGTAGGTAAAGACTCATAGAATTATATAACAAAAATGTCCATTTTACTGTATGCTAATTTAAAAAACAACACTTAGAAAGAAAAATATTGCCTCTCCAATCTTCTTTCAAGTCCCTACTATAGTCCAGGTTCTGCTAGGCACCAGGAATACAAAGTTAAAAAGACAGACTATGCCCTCAGAGAAGGAGGCAAACAAGTACTCTATGATAACTCTATGGAGGAGTATATAATCCACATGGATTTCTATACCTAAGAACGGCTACCTGGGAAACAGGGGCAGGAGCTGACACTTGACATGAGCAGGGGTTTCTAAGAAAAAAAGGGAGAACACTCCAGACCAAGGAAACAGCATCTAACAGAGAGGTAAGGGAGAATATAACATACTGGCATACTTAGGAAATTACAAATAATTACTTTCCCAAGCACCAGCAGAAAACGTTACATAAATACAGTCAGGAACTATAAACAAGTTCCCTCCAAGCAATATAAAGAGTATTCCAATTTGAAGCTTTGGAAATGGCAATTTTCAGACTCAAGTCAACCTGAGGGCTTCTTCCTTTCACTCCCTGTTCCCATATGTTCACATCATCATAGCCATTGTAGTATCCATGTATCCATCACTTTGGCCAAACTACACTAAGGCCCCATGGGAACACACACATGTCCCCATATGTACACTCACAGCATCTAATGTGTTTTATTATAAGGTATTCAGCAGCACAGCACAGCACTGGGACAAAAATGCTGTGACTGGGGCTAGTCTACCTGATTTCAAGTACAGAATCAACTGATTAAATTACTTAACCTCTCTGAGCCTCAATTTTCTCACTGAAAATGTGAGAATAATAGCACCTACACATTGGGCTGCTGTGAAAAAAAAATGTGCTAATTTATATATAAATGCTTAGAACAGTGTTTGAGTCACAGTAAGCACCACGTAAGTGGTTTGAATTAATACTCAACAAATGTTACCTATGTAAAATGAGGACCTACTCACAGTAGGGTATTCTCACAGTAGAAAAACAAACCTACAGTATATAAGTTCCCTTGGTTATACAGAAAATGGCCCTGCTGTGCTACAACCAGGGCTGTAGTACTGAGACCAGTTCTGATGATGCTTGCACATACAGCCCAGGTGTTTCAGTTTTTCATGATGCATTAAGGGGGTGGTCTAGCTGTAAGCAAAGAACAGTGGATTTTTCTGATTTTTTAAGCACTGCAGGGTGTAAAAAAGGTTGGCATAATAGTGAGAAGCCTGTCAAACCTGAAGTGGAGACTACTGAGAAGAAAAAACTTTCTGAATTAAAACCCAAATTTCAGAAGCACATCATTCAAGCCCATAAACTAGTAGAAGCAATAAAAAGACCAAGCCAAGATGAACCAGTGACAAATCGGTAATTGGAAATATCTGCCTTCCTAAAACAAGCACTTGATAAACTTAAGCTATCGTCAGGGAATGAAGAAAATAAGAAGACAGTGATGGAATTAAGATTGGGACCTCATGTAAAAATGGAGGGTGTTCAAGACAAATCAGGGTCTATGGAGTCTAGAAGTCTGTTTATATCACTCTGGAGTACCTATTTTCCATGAAGAGATGAAATACTGGAGCTGCTGTAGAAGAAAAACTTCTGATTTTGATACATTCTTAGCACAAGAGGACTATACAACAGGGAACAACATGTGGACTAAAAAGGATGCTGGGAAAAAAGTTGTTCCATGTAGACATGACTGGCATCAGACTGAGGGTGAAGTGGACATTTCAGTAAATGCTAAAAAGTCATTTCCAGAACTTAGTCAAGTAGTAGCAAATAGCTCATAAACAGTTACAGTATTTCTTAGTATAATATTATGTTAAGCAAAGAAACATAAAGGGACATCTGTTTTGTTCATATCTCTTTTATCCCATAATTAGGAAAGCAAGATGGAATGTCACTTTTTTTTTGGTATCATTAATCTACAATTACATGAGGAACATTGTTTACTAGACTCCTCCCATCACCAAGTTCCCCCCACAAACCCCATTACAGTCACTGTCCATCAGCATAGTAAGATGCTGTAGAATCACTACTTGTCTTCTCTGTGTTGCACAGCCCTCCCCATGCCTCCCCCCCCACACTATACATGTTAATCGTAAGGCCCCCTTTCTTCCCCGCCCCCTTATCCCTCCCTTCCCACCCATTCTCCCCAGTCCCTTTCCCTTTGGTAACTGTTACTCCATTCTTGGGTTCTGTGAGTCTGCTGCTGTTTTGTTTCTTCAGTTTTTCTTTGTTCTTATACTCCACAGATGAGTGAAATCATTTGGTACTTGTCTTTCTCCGCCTGGCTTATTTCACTGAGCATAATACCCTTTAGCTCCAGGAATGTCACTTTTAATTGAGTTTTTTAATGAGCTTTTTTTCCTATAATACTTGAAAATGTTTAAGGAAGAAATACTCTGCATTGATTTTTCCACTTGAGAAGGTTACTTTTTCTAGGATGAGTAACTCTGAGGCAGTGTTAAGTAGTTAAAGGAAAATATACACTTTGACTAACAAATTAAATTTGGCTACACTTAATTGAATCTAAAAACATATCAGCACCTATATTACTTGCTAAGCAGTGTGATTTAAAAGTATAGGAAACATAAGAGTACAGAGGTAACAATTTGGTTAAAATTCACCATTTTATGAAACTAAGCAATAATGCTAAACTCTCCTCTAGATTATAAGGTCTTTGTTCAGTGTTATGAGTAAATTGTACCTAATAGAGGCCTATACCCTCTTAAAATCTTTAGTTACATAAAGAGAAATTATATATATAATTTAATCGAGCTGCACACTAAGATTTGTGCACTTTATTACATGTGCCTCAAAAAAAATACAAATAACATAGGTGAATTTCAAGTAATTGTGCTGAATTAAGGAAGCCAAACCCACAATAAAAAGAGGGGGGCATATTGTATGGTTCCACTTATAAGAAATTCTAGGAACTACAACCTAACCTATATACAGATATATACACATATATATATCTGGCTCCCTGGTAGAAAACTGTTTCTATGAAATTATAGACTTAAAGGCTTATGGAAATACATTAAGGTATTAGAAAACTAAATATTTACGCTATGCTTTATAACAATATCTATTGCATGTTAAATAAATACAATTGCTAAAAAAAAAACCAAATAAGTATGAGCAAGACTTATGCACTGAAAACTAGAAAACATTGCTCAATAAACAGAATGAACATTGCTCAATGAACAGCTAAATAAACAGAAGACATGTTCATGGATCAGAAAATTCAAGACTGTTAAAATAGCAATTCTCCTGAAGTTAATCTACATTCTCAGTGCAATCCCCACCAAAATCTGGGTAGGCATGTTTGTGAAATTTACCAAGCTGATACTAAACTGTATCTGAAAATGCAGTCTAGAATAGCCAAAACAATTTTGGAAGAGAAAAAGACAAAAGACTTAGACTACCTGATTTCAAAACTTAGTATAAAGCTACAATAAATAAGGCTGTGTGCTATCAATTAAAATGAAAGTACATGTCCATACAAAGACTTACATACAAATGCTTATAGTAGCTATATTCCTACAGCCAAAATCTGAAACAACCCAATGTCCATCAGCAGGTGAATGGATTAAGTGCAGTATAACCATATAATAGAATGCTGATCAGCAATAGGAACATAAAAATACACAACAGGCTGGAAAAAAATTAGTGAGAATGTTTGGTATCTTGACTTGCTTGGGTGATGGTTACATGAGTGTACATGTCAAATTTAATCGAGCTGCACACTCTAAGATTTGTGCACTTTATTGCATGTGCCTCAAAAAAAATACAAATAACATAGGTGAATTTCAAGTAATCGTGCTGAATTAAAGAAGCCAAACCCATAATAAAAAGAGGGGGGCATATTGTATGGTTCCACTTATAAGAAATTCTAGGAACTACAACCTAACCTATAATGACAGAAAACTACCTAGTGGTTGCCTTGGGACAGGGGGTGGGAGAGGGGACTGACTGCAAAGGGGCAGGAGGGAACTTATGCAGTCATGGCTGTGGGGATGGATACATAGCCACATATATTTGTCAAAACTCACCAAACTTACACTTAGAATGATGAAACAACCAAAAACTCTAATGGTTCTTTTATATCTATCTCCTTTAACTTAGAATCAAAGGAAATCCACAATAGAATTTCCCCATTCTGAATATATTTAGATAAAAATAAATAAGCAACACAGTTTAACTGTGAAATCTGTTAGCAAGCTTGTAAGTGGCCATAAGGTTATCTAAGCCAGCCAGTTTCCAGAGAAGTGCAAAAAATATATAAAGAAGATTTAAAGAAGATAAAAGAGCTCTTATGCTACCCACAATTTAACAATGGTACTTCCCAAGATTCTAATTCTACTCCTACATAATTATACTTCCAATGTCTAATTCTACTCCTACATAATTCTACTTCTACAGCACCCTACAGAACGCTGCAAGGATCAAGAATATAGAGATTGTTACTTAAAGCTAGAAGTAAATCAGTAGTTGGAAACAGAGAAAACATTCTTAGTTGTTATCACATTTAGTTTTCTCAGGGGAGCACTATTTACCTCATTAATTCTCCTGAGGAAAGATGTTTTTCTCCTTACATCTCAAAAAAGAATAAATATTTTACTTCTTATAACATTAAGCAGTTATTTTTAAAGTATGTCTATGTTGACCCTTAAACCTTAAATTAAAAAAACAAATCCATAACATAAGCAATAAATGAGGATATAAACATTTACAAGGAGAAAGAAGGCAGGGTAAGGATTTTCCAGTTCAAATAACCACAATATGTAACATGCGTATTACAGATTTGGTTAGTTCTAAGGCAGTGTGCTATCTTCTAATTTGAGTTATCAACAAAAGTTGTTCACAGATTAAGAAAAGATACTTAATAGCACAGAGAAGACAAATAGTGACTCTATAGCTTCTTACTACGCTGATGGACAGTGATACAATGGGGTGTAGGAAGGGACTTGATAATATGGATGAATGTAGTAACCACAATGTTGCTCATGTGAAACTTTATAAGATTGTATATCAGTGATGCCTTAATAAAAAACAGTAATAAAAAAAGATACTTAAGATCTAAATGAGGTTAACCTTTCCTTTTGTAAATATACAAGTAATAATCATATTCAGGATTTCCGATTCAAGTTCCAAAGGCAGACAGACAGAAACACATACACACCTTCAGGCTTTGATGGGCTCTATCCCTTCTACTTGCCCTTTGACCTAGTATGCCCTTACCTTTTATCCCACCTGCCCGGATTCTCCCCATATTTCACCACCTGCCTTAATTGGTACATATTCCCTGATCCCTTGAGTCAAAAGCAATCTGTTTTCTGAAATCCCACAGCTCTTTTCAGTAGTCTCCTATGGCATTTAACACTTTCTATCTTGTGCTATACTTTCTTAAATCCAATAAGCTCTCTTCTACTGAGTATCCTTGAAAGGAAAACCCATGTTTTATTCACCCTTGAATCCCTCATAACACTCAGTACCTGAAATTAATCATTTATTGGGTATGCTGCCTAGAATAGAGAGGAAAACATTCAACAATATTTTTTAGGCACTATGTGCCATACACTGCCTTAGATGACACATAAGGGAACAAATACCAATGACACAGACCTGCTCTAAATCTACAAAGAGACCTAGACATGAGGATATGTAAACAGATTAATACAATATAATTATGATAAATTTATAATTAGGGATGAACAGGGTGCTGTGAGGGGAACATTATATATGTTGAAAATTGTTCTAATTCCCCAAACATGTTAAGAACTAAGTTTAGATTTTTGAAGGGCCCAATAACTAAAAAGGTTTAAGAATGGTATAATGAGAGCCCCTTAATCTTAAAAAAATGTCTTAAGCTGAAACTAACACTTCACCTATATAACAACCTTACATGCAAATGGAGTAACAAATTTCCCTCCATTCTCAGTGCAGCCTTCTGCAATAATAAGGCCAGGTCTTATCTACTGTATTTCAACAAATCTGCTCACCCCATCTTCTCACATTTGTCTGAACGGTGCACCATTTCCATACACCATGTGTCCCTCCCATGCCCAGAATTCTTTTTATTTAAATCTACTTAATCTTTAGATTCTCCTCAAGGCCTGCTTCCCCAGCTTTCTATGACACATTATTAATTACTACATCCTCCAAATGTATCCTGTACTATTACTATTATCTGTACCTCTTTTTTTAACAATGATAATGAAAAAGTTAACTTAATTTTTTATGTAACTTGGAGTTAAGCAGAACTGGTCTCAAATCCCATCTCAAATGCTTCTTATTGTCTGTCTTGCAGTGTAAAGTTGAGCAAGTTATGAAACTTCCTTGAACCTGTTTCCTCATCATTAAAATCAGGATTGAGTGATATGTACAGAATGCCTAATATACATACAAACTGATATATACATGCCTTACATACATATAGGCTTATTTCATTTTGTTTTCTTCTTTTCCAAGAATGCAGATGCAAGCTGTCTTTCAAACTCAAGGTAAGAGCAATGAAATATGAACAAAGTGGGTACCAAAAATCCGATTGGTGAGTTGATGTAAAGGAGCCCGCAACTTTAAATGTGCCGTCGAAATATCTAACACAGTGACCCTCACTAGAATTTCTCATATGTCTCCCATTGAAAACCATGAAAAACTCAGAAGCAAAAAAGGCACAGCCACCTACAGAGGTCCTGGCTTGATGCCCCCAACGCTGACATCTTTCTCAAAAGTCTGTCTGCCTCAGTGCAAACCTTAAGCTGTATAAAGGTCAAAGGAAGCAATATCTTATATTACATAAATCAAATAATACATAATTAACACTTTGTAATCTGCATTTCTCCCTCGGAAGCAAGGAAAACCACTTCTGCAAATTTTAGCCTCAGCAGAGAAAGTGCAAAAGGGATGGAGCTGAGTCATCAATTTAAAACCATCAATGTCTGCCCCACCCTGGACTGGGAACTCGACCGCGACCTTCTCCAGCAGAGTCCCGAGCGCGCCACACTCAGCCCCTATCCGAGCCTTCCCGAGTCCCCACCTCCGACCCATGTCCCGCACTAGGCGCAGCCAATCCCACCCTCGCCTCTGGCCCGGCATCAGGTAACCCCACACCAGTGTCTACACCTTAGTCCGTCCTATCCCAATTCACACTCGTACCCACGCCCGACACCCGCACTCACCCGGGCGGTGACCTTATATACCGTGTAGCCCCTCGGGTGTCGCTGGGGTTCGGTGACAGTGTAGAATCGGGCCAGGTCGGCACCCCGCTCCCGGGGAGAGGTCATCCTCCCGCCGCCTCTGCCGCTGCCGCCTGCCGGGGACCATCAGGGCACCCCAGTCGCGCCGCGATCCGGCTCCCAAACAAGACGCGAAGCAGCGAGGGGGCGGTGGCTCCACGGCAGCGCCTCCACTCACAGCTCTACTTCCGGGTCGGCAAAGAAGCTTCCGGCTCAGACCGGATCCCGCGTGCGAGGGATGGGGACCCGCCACCTTGGGTGCTGACCGCTGACCGGACTGGGCCTGGCAAGCGGGTGCACCGCCATTCTCGTCACTGCGGAGACCCGAGTCGCCTCCACTAAGCCTCCTTGTGCGCGAGCTCCGTCCGGCACCTTCTAGATTTTGTGAGAGCCTTTTCAGCCACAACACCGTTGAGAGCTTGGTCCTGCACACCCCCACGCAGCCCGTGGACCAACTTGTACAGCCATAAAGCGATGGAAGGATACGTCAACCTAGCATCTTTTCTTCCCTATTCACGGCCTCTCATTTTAAATACGCCAGCACCTGAACTCCCTTGCAGGCATACCGTTCCTTCTTTTTTTTTTTTTTTTTTTTTTT